TACTCGAAACAGAATGACGAGTCACCTTAGTCTCCGCTAGATCAGGCTTGTTATTGATCTAGAAGCCAGAGAAACTGCCTACCAACATAGTTCGGTGATGGCGGCTGGGTTCCAACCCACGGACCCAAAGCACGCTAGTGGCTGCAACTTGAACTGCTTGACCATCACCACTTAATCCTTTCAACACTGTTTCCATGTTTTAGAACAAATGATTGAATTGCATCGTGGTCAGGGACTGGATATATTTTGGCGACGTTCGTCCCACTGCCCCACGGAATCAGAATACCGCGCAATGGCTGTCCGGAGTAAGTTTGAACGGGACCTGACATCCCATTCGCGTGATCATGTTGCTGATTTGTTTAGTGCATTTCTGTATTTAACTCTTAAGGTTCTTAAACCGTTTTTCACATCATTTGAGAATAAGCTGTACGTACCTGTCATGTTTCAGTTAAGCTTGCATTGGACAGAGCTACGGAAATATGAAACAAAGTTTGAAAGATCAATATCCGGACACTGTTATTCAATGTGTTTGATACTGTTGTTAGGTTTATCACGGTATGTTTCCAAACAGCAAAGATCATTACATTTTTTGGTATACAACTGCAACGCGAGAGGTTTGATCAACAGAAATGGTAGGTTTAGGTCCCATTTTGTTCCGGAAAAATGCAACCGCTGNCACTCACCCATTTACATTTAGTTGATCAGTACACTTTTTGCCTGGAAGTGTAAAAGAACGATCAGTGAATTCTAATTTAAGCGTTCACGACTTGACAAGAAGATTCATGTGAAACCGAAGTCAAGCTATTCAACCGAGTCAGCTTTATAAATGCTGTGACTGTTAGCGGCCATTCCTGGTGGGTGAAGGAAAAGAGCTTGACTGGCCAGTTTCAATGCCGAAACGGACATCGGCGCAATTATTATCACCAGATATAAAAGATCGGGTCACAGGCATTTTACTCAGACTACGTTATCATTGACGAAACCTCTCAAGATCAATTAAGGGACGTCCGATTTCGTTAATCGTTTCATGACGTACACTTGTGGTGGACAGAAGATAGGGTGAACCACATATTCACGAAAACTTACTGTTCTGCGATGGAAACTGGTATCCTAAGCCCCGTGACTTATAATGGCGAAACACATAAGGAACCGCTAGGTTAGGTGTGGTAATGAAACGGATGACAGCAAAGCTGCCTCCCATCAAACTTGGATGGTGGTGGCTGGGATCGAATCTCGAACGACTGGGTCCAAACCACGCCAGTGACAGCGACTAAATCACTGCGCCATCATCACCACTTCCCTACACCAATATATTCACAAGTTATATAGATCGGAATTGATAGAAAAGTTGTCTTTCTATCAGGAGAAAACGGAGGTAAAATCGCTGAACACCCCTAAATCGATTTTCAAACGATAGGTGGTTTCTTTATTGTAAGAGGGGCATTGCTTGTTTATGTGGTTAGTGGTCAATAGGGTCATTCGAGCCGTATTATGAAGACACTAAAGACGCATTCCCTAGTTAAGTTACTCAAAGGTTTTGTCATAAAAAAGGGCAAGCTAGACCAGCGGTGTCTAGCACCTTCATCTAAATTGGAACCCACAGAGTGAACAATGGCTACCGCGGTACGTATAGAAGATGAAGGGTTCTGAGTGAACTGTGCCGAGTCATGGGCACCACCTAAATCAGTCATTCAATGCAAAAGAAATACAACACGACCGAGGCGCTCATTATCAGTCAATATTTGAAAGGGCCTTTCTTTTTCGGGATTATGTTCTGAAAACGTGCTACCTTTTCTAATCTCTGAGCGCTGTATCGACATATTCGGGTGTGGTAGGCTGTATAGCCAGTTATCATCCTCAATGAGGTTCCACAGTGCTGTCTTATATCCCCATGCCTCTTCCACTTTGCGACAGATAATATCCTACAAGATGTTTTTCTCGGTCTAATTCTCGGTGAACTCCTCCGAGAGAACACAACTCCTCCAGATTGTAATCGATATCGCTGTTTGATTAAACTGAACAAACGATACAAACTGCAGTGAATTACTAACTGTTATTCACTTTACCCCAACCATATTCATAGTGCCTCAAAACTCTTCCTTCACTCCTTCTTCGGTGACCATTTGGTTGTAATCGTCAGCTTCGCTA